AGAGTAGGTACTTAAGAATATCTCAAGGATAAATTCTGATAAACCCTAGACTAGTTGTCAGTATTCTAACAGACATGCATGTTTCTAAAATATTGAGGCATTTTAAAGTTTTTTAATTTAGCAAATTTGGTATCTTAAAGAATACTATAAGAGTTATGAGTATGGAGATACAGTTTGTCCAGTGGCTTATGACAGTTGCATTCTGATCCAAGTGAAGCCAATAAATCTTTATATTTTTGAAAAATAACTCTTATTTACAACATTTTAGCAAGCTCAATTTTCTAAAATTGAGGTTCCACAAGCACATTCAGGCAGTGTATGTGAACACTCTAATTATTTTGCTAATCATATTGCAAGAAAATACACTAAAGAGATAGAGGGTTATAGGCAACTCTGGACAAGTCACTGTTTGTAAAAGGCACTGTTAGAATAAACAGTGGTAAAGCATTTGTGAAGTCTAAACTAGCCTTTAGTTTCTTAACCTAAACCAAGTCTTTAGGACTTGAATAAGTTCCAGGAAGTGCTATTTTCAAGTCTGGTTACTCAGTGTAGTCATAGCATGAAAAATGCAAACAAGATTTCTGTTGGACCTAAGCAAACTACAAAATACAGTTTAACATACTGTGGTATCTTTTTTACTAGGTTGAAACCAGAAAAGATATTTTTATTATTTTTTGGTATTCTAACTATAATAAATTTAAACCTTTCATTGTATGTAAAGTCTACTAAGACCCTTAGAACTGCACTCTGTGTTCATTTGCATCTGAAGAAATTGATAGGAACAGAGGACATTTATTCTAAACAAAACGTTGTAATACAACACTACCATTGACCTAAGAAAGTTATCACATCTCCTTAAAGTTTTTAAAAGATTATTTGAGTACAAATTGAATGCCAAAGCTCGTATTTTAGTTTTCTCTCATAAAACAGTTATTACATGTGAATACCTTGCGCACTGGCTTGAAGACGTCTATAATTTCCCCATTGGAAAAGTTCATCACAAATCCTTGTACAGGTTCTTGGTCCCCAAAGTAAGGCTTCCCGTTCACCGCAAAGAGCAAACCTATGACAAGATATTTGGTTACCATTTCTTTAAAATATGGATAAGACTGGCTTTCGAATACATGCATGTATCTTACAGAAACAATATATACAGGGTCAATCTGGCCCCTACAATTGGCAACAAAAGTAGGAAATAAAACTCCTTCTGAGTAACAAGACCAGGGGCAAACAGGTTAGGAGACTAACCTCTTTGTAATAAGAAAACCAGAAAATGCTAGGCCTGTTCCACGTAGGAAGCCAACACAAATCAGGAAGACATAGACATAGATATAGATATAGATGATACAGATAATAGGAAAATATAAATACATATATAGCATATATCACAGGCATTTTAAATAGGTACTGGGAAGAGCCAGGTTATATAAGCAAATAATGTCTGAGAGTTTACTGTCTATGTTTTCTTTTAGGAGTTTTACGGTTTCGGGTTTTACATTTACATCTTTAAATCTATTTTGAGTTTATTCTTGTATATGGAATAAGAATGTGGTCCAGTTTCATTTTTTTACATGTGTCTGTCAGTTTCCCAGCACCATTTATTGAATAGACTGTCTTTACCCCAATGTATATTCTTGCTTCCTTTGTTATAAATTAAATGCCCATTTAGTCATAGATTTATTTCTGGGCTTT